AATAAGAAAATGCTAATTAAATAAAATTTTAAAATAAAAACGCAAGCAGGAGATGAACCTAAGATAAAGCTGAGCATTCATAACTAATAATAAGTTCCTGTGTCGTGATGTGGGGGTTGGTGGCTCAAGAGAAAGCCTGCTACAAGCATATCTGATGCAAAGTCCTTAGCACTTGACACTAACACTGTCTTCTGTCTCTTCTTAACTTTTTACTTATCTTCATCTTTGTCCTTATTAGATGAATTTCCTAGGTTTCTGTTTCCTCCTACCCCCATGCTAGAGAAGAAGGTAGGTCTGAGTCTCGTGTTCTTATTTATCTAGGAGGTTTCTCCTGAAGTTAGCTGGTGAGTATGGAGGGCAGCGTCTACATGTGCAGAGTGTGCAACGCATGGGCTCTCTAAGTGAGACACCACAGCTACAGATACAAACACACCTTTGTAAGGGCCGCACCTTGGGCATCAGAATAAAAAGAACCCACATCCCTTCATTTCAGCACATTTCCTTCTGCTGGCTAATTCAAGCACAGAATTTAGGAGGGAATCCAAAGCTAAATGCTGATCTTGTCCATGCGGACATCTGGTCAACCCTGAACCATCAGTAGAAAACTGTCAAGTCACTGCCCTTGTGTCACCCTACCTGCTTTCTACCCCACCCCCATTCTTAAAAGAGGGTTGAGTTAAGCAGGAGGCTGTGGACCAACAGCCCATAAATATGAAATCCTGCCCTTTAGCCTTCTCCCTGGAAACTGCTTTCTGAACCTAATGATTCCCAACAGGGAGTCCCAAAAGCTCACCAGCTGTGGACCCAGATCTACTCAGGCAGCCTGCAGAACTAGGAGAAATGCATTACCATACTAATGATGTCCTATTTAAATTCTAGCCCTGATTACTCTGTGATGAAATCTCTTCCCTCCACATTGGTTTCTTTATATCTGAGTTCCAGTGTGAAATCAACAATATTAATAAAGTACAATACAGATTATCAAGTTATACACAGGAGATGGAGAAACAGCTGTATAAATCTTAAGGTTCTTTTTTTCTGGAAAAAAAACTAAAATCAGTTACTAATTTTTTACACCCAACCTTCCCTTATTAAAAAAAAATTAAATGCATATTAATGAAAGGCTGCTGGTTAATTTCTGTAAGTATTCATGGGATGCAGGAGACATTTGGCTTTTCATTTTACTCCACTATACTCAACATTCCTCGGAATTTAAATGTATGACTCGCAGTCTCAGAACTAAAGTCTTTCTTCTTCTCTTCACAGGAGTGTGTTACCATAACAGAAACCTATGGATTCAAAGGCAGTGGCCATGTCTGCCTCCCTTTGCCCTTGAGATTGTCATGTTTCTGTTCCTTTCCCATCACCCCAGTCTGAATAACTAACTCGAGGCTAAGGATGCGGCTTGGCTGGTAGAGTGATTTCTTGGCATGTGCAAAGTCCTGGGTTCAATTCTAGCCCAGCACAAACTAGTTATTAGGTGCTGCACACCTCTAATTCCAGTCCTGAAAAGTGGATGTAGGAAGACCAGGAGTTCAAGGTCATCCTCAACTACACATCAGGTTAAAGGCCAGTCTAAACTACAAAAGACCCTGTCTTAAAAACTAAAGCAAAACAATAAATATCCAAATAAGACCATGCCATCATCACCCAGGAAAGAGTCACCCTTGTCACTGCTTTCATTATACTGGAAAGAGGATCCAAGGTCTGCACCCACAGTCCAAAGTGAGGAAGAAAGAACACTTTACCCCACTATCCAGCCCCTGCAAGTAAACAAAGACTTGTGGCACAAGGCCATCATGCAGGGTCCCAAGATAACCCAGTAAGACTTACAGGCAGTGTAATTCACAGAAGACACAATGACATCTCCATGGTAAGACAGGCCAGTCCATCTCTGATGGTCCCCAGGGATGCTTCCTATCACTAAGAGCTCTCTGTGTGAGCAACACTGCTGATTGGTCCTTGGACCAGAAATGTATGCCTTTTTCTATAGAAACAGAAACTTAGACCTTCACAGGGCACACAACCGCCCAGGGTAAGGACAGTTCTCATCACCCTTGCAGTTGACTGCCATCACCATACCAAGGTCAAGTTCACAACAGTGTGGCAGTAGGAAAGCATGTGCAGATTCCTACAGGGAGCTGTGATGGAGTCAGCTATGTTCTGTCTTTGTGCCTCCTGGCTGGATCTGGCATCTACATGTGTGTCATCTAATAAGGGGCTCAGAAGAATAAAACAAGAGAATTCAAGTCTCTGAATTTAAGAGCTGCTTATCCATCCCAGCACTGCTTTCTCCAACCCTTGAAACCATTGTTGGAAATCAGATATTTTTTAATGTTTTATATTGGGGTATAAAGATAGCTTAGTAGATAAAATGCTTTGCCTTTGCAAGCACAAGAATCTAAATTTAATCCCCAGTGCTCACATTAAAAGTTGGGTATAGAGATGCACAATGGTAATCCCAGGCCTGTAGATGCAGAGACAGGATGACTCCTGGGGCTTTCTGATCAATCCAACCAAACTGGTAAGTTCCGGGCTAGGGAAAAATCTCAAAATAAAACCAAGTAGAAAGTGCCTAAGAAGTGACAGCCAAGGTTGGCCTCCGACCCCCACTCACATATGTGTGCATACCTAACATACACCCAGATGAACACAATGCTATACACTGCTCATTTCTGTTTTATCTTAAGAGGTTTTATCTATGGGCTGCACAGATAGTGCAGCAATTAAAAGCATGTACTCCTCTTGCAAAGGACCTGAATTCAGTTCTCAGCACCCACATCTGATAGTTCACAAACTGCCTGTGACTTCAGCTACAGGGAGAGTTGTGGTACATCCATGCCTATACGGGCACAGATTAGCCTGTTCTTGAACTTGAATACAGGGTCCCCTCTGACTTGCTGACTCTCAAGGTTCAAAAACAGCTGAACCCAGACTATGATCTGGTTTTATTGCATTCCAATAGGTGAATTTTTCTTCTCAAGGATTTATGTTAGTTCTGGTTATGCAAATGTATATACATCTCTGCATATGTGTGTCCATGTGAGCACGGTACCTATAGATGTCAGAAGACGGTGTCACATCCCCGGGAGCCACACAATACGAGAGCTGAGGACCAAACTTGGGTCCTCTGCAGGAGCAGTACATGCTCTTAACCACTAAACCGTCTCTCCAGTCCTCAGAAATCCATTTTCTAATCTTTATTATCCATGTCCTTACCAACACTGGATTGTTAATTCGGGTGACCCAAATCCCCATCTCCTCAGACTGGTTAGCAATGAGCTTCAGCCTCAAGCACATTCGAGAAACACACAGGGAGAGGGTGGCTGACCCAGCATAATCCCAACACGAAGCACACAGATTCCCTACCACAAGCCATCTGCAGTTTAGAGACGTCCCGTGTAACAGTCTCCCGTTCTGCTTGTTTATGTTTTATTCATCATCTTGAAAGTATTTAGTGAAGTAACAATGATGAGATTCAAAAATACTGCACAGTGCTTTTTTTAAAAAGAGATATTAATGGCTTTCAAGAGCTCACTCACTATTCAAATGAAAATATATCGTTGGGTTACATTTGCTCAAATCTGTTTACATCTTCTTTATCCTTAGATAGAATCCATTCCCCCATTTTGTGTAAAATCTGAGTGATAACACTATGAAACATTTCATTTTTTCCTTATTCATAGATTTAAAAAAAACAACACCAACAGCAAAAGCCTGCTGGAGATCCACCCTGCTTGATTCTCTCATCAATGAAGTAAGCCAGCATGCAGGGCCTGGGGGGCCTGGAGTCCCCCTCAGCACTGTGCTTATATGGACACTCCACACACAGCCTGCATATTTAGCAAAACAAGAAATAAATAAAATGTTTGGCCTTTAAGAGTGAAGGGAGGGCTGGGATGTGTGAGATGGCTCAACGGGCAGAGGCCTGGGCAAGCATGGTGAGCCCATGTGACAGTGGAGGAAGAGAACTGACTCCTGAAATTTGCTCTCTGACCTCTGTGTGAGCAGCGCATAATAATAATCAAGTTTTAAAACTTTTTAAGGAAATAAAAAAGGGAGGGTCAGAGAGATGGCCCAGTGGTTAAGAACACTGGCTGCTCCTGCAAAGGACCCGAGTTCTCTTTCCAGCATCCACATGGTAACACCAGGTCCAGGGGACCTGGCGCCCTCTTCTGGCCTCCATAGGCACTGCATTAACATGCTCAACCTCTCCCCTCCCCAACACATACACACTTTAAAATAAAAACTAAGTATTTTTTAAAGATTAAAAGAGTTAAAGGAAACAGTGCTCAGCTCTGAACTGTTGAGCCAGCTGAGGCGCCACTGGCAAGAGACACCGTGACCACTGGCCATCTCTTTGATTCAAACATGGGGAGAAACTACACCTCACACAATTCATTAGAACTGTAAAACCTAGTTTGTTCATCCCCAAATGGCATGCCTAACCTCTGCCAGCTGGAGATACATTTTCTTGTTTGGACTTGGAACACTAATCTTCCCTGACATCAATTTATGGAACATTCAGGTGGCACCGGTTCTTAAGTGGAACTTAAGTGGAACACAGGGCATATATTGTGTTAGCCCTTCTGGCATGCCAGTACCTGGGTACAGGACACCAGTCCTTCCTCCTGGGGAGAGAATCAAACATCAGAGCATAGCCCAATAGAAGAGTCACTCCCTCAGCATTAGCCTGTGACCTGCATCCTTGCAGGACCAGGGAGATACCTTCAACTCAGGATGTGCACCCAGGGAAGAAGCTCCACAGCCCACCACGTTCAGCAGCAAATGCAGAGCAGAAAATGGGAAATTTCAGAGAAAGGGAAAGTGTCCCATTTCAAGAGCAAAGCAAATGCTGATAGGTGACCCCACTCCATTGTCCAAGGCTCTGGCCAACAATGTCCCCCATGAACTGGCTAGGTGCAGTGAGGTGATCTGACCACATGATCTAATAACATCATCACTAACTTGTCCTGAGGCTGTGGCTGGGGGCTACTCACTGTGGGCGGCTTCCTGGAGTGCCAGGTCCTGTCTGCACCTGATATAGTCCTCTTTGACACTGCCCAGTCTTCTGACATTCCTGGAGCTGAGTGCCAGCAGCCTGCCCAGGAGCAACTCTAGTCCTTCCCGCTCTGACGACAGTGCCCAAATCTCCTCCGTGAGCTCTTTGGCTGTAAAGAAGTGGCTTCCTGCAGTACAGGGTGGGAGACAGAAGAAAAGAAGATTGTGTGTATGTGTGCGTGTGAATTGCAGTAGTATTTGTATTCTTGAAAGTTTCATACAGTTATACAATACATATTGATCATATCCATCCATGACTACCTCCTTCCACCTCCTTCTAGTGCCTACGCCCTGTCTCCCTCCCAATTTCTTATCTCTCTGCCGTTGTTGTTAATAACCCCATTAGTGCAGTCCATATGCACATGGGTGTGGAGGCCATCCACCAAGGCATGAGCAACCCACCAGAATCCATTTCCCCAAAGGAAAATGATTCTCCCTCCTTTAGCAGCCATCATTTATCAATGGTTCCTCCAATGGGTGTGGGGTCATTTTAGTGCCTCCCACATCCATGCTAGATTTGTAAATGAATTGTGGGATTCTTGAGTATGAATTTTGGGGACAACAGTATCCTGATGCCATATCAAAAGATTAGGGACACCTGAAAGGGAGCCGCTAGAAATTCGGGGCCTCTGAAAATGACCTAGAGATGTCCAGCAGGATCAGGACAAGTCCCAGGTATCACTCCACTCAATACCCAAGGTCCAAGGGCTGACACAGCACAGCAGGGTGGAAAGGTACTGGCCTTGCAGTTAGACTTCAGCTAAATTGAATTCCTTCCCCTTATCAAAATGCATGACATATATAATGGCTGCTCTTAGCACAACTGGGAAGGGTGAAACTGAATTGAGGAATTTACTCCATCAAAGCGTCCTGTAGGTGTGTCTGTGGCATTTTTCTTGATTGCTTATTGATGTAGATGGACCCAACCAACTGTGGGTGATGCTCTCCTTAGACAGGGTATACTGGGTTCTATGAAAAAAGGTAGCTGAACAGGATCCTGAAAGCAAGCCACTAAGCGATACTCCTCTGTGGTCTCTGCCTCAATCTCTGCCTCCAGATCCCTGCTTGAACTCCAGCCCTGGCTTTCTTAAGTAATGGTCTATGATCTATAAGCCAAATAAATCCCTTCTTCCCCAAGATCTTTTGGTCAGTGTTTTTATCATAGCATCAGAGACCCTAACAAAAAATGAAAAATAAATGAGCACATTTGGTATAAATGTGCTATGAAATATGATCGTAATAACACCTGAATTGCAGGTGGCTGCAGGAACCACAGGTGGCTTGGTGCATAAGAAAGAAAAGCCATAAAGCACCAAATAAAATAGATGGTGAGCGACTGGAGTGCAACAAGGAGCAAGGTCAGGTACAAGAATCAGCTGCGTGTCTAACAGCAGCAGCAGGCCACTGTGAGACAATTTCTCTGAAATATAGTTTACAGCATATTTTAAGACTAAAAGTATGTAGGGAAGAATTTAAAGCATCCTATGCAGATGTGGAAACTGCTTTTGAGAACCTACTGAGAGGAAATAAGACTTAAATAATTATGGAGATAAACTATAAGCGTCCACTGGAAAACTTGCTACTCCTAGGGTTTCAATTTGCCCCAGATTGATGCATAGATTTAATACAATTCCTATCAAAATTTCATGAGGCCCTTTGGTAGAAATAAATGGGCACATCCTAAACTGTAAAAGAAAATGCAAAGGTCTAGATAAGCCAGAGCAATCGGACAGTCTATATTTTAAGACCCCAGCTATCACTACCATAAATCAGGACTGTGTGCATCTGAAAGCAGATAGGCATGTTGGCTGATGGGTTACAACACAAGTCCAGAGACGGTGAGTCCTCCAAGAGCCAACTGAGTGCAAAGCAAGTCAACAAGGGAAAAAAATCATCTCAATAGATGTTGCCAAAATAACTAGTTACTCATATGGGGGCAATGTGAACCCTGATACATACCTCAGACCACACACAAATTACATCATGGGTAAAACATGGGGCTCAGACAAAGTTCAAACTATGAAGTTACAAGTAGAGAATAAGACAGAGCAAGGTACTAGCTTTGGAACAGGCAGAGCTTTGCAGAGGACACAGATCACAAGAATCAAAGAAAACCCTGATAAATGGGCTTCATTGGGATGATAAGCTTTCAGCACATAAATGAAGCTAAGGCAGGGGAGCTGAGTGTGGTATACCTGATACTCCAGCACTTGGAAGGTGGAGGCAGGAGGATCAGGAATTCAAAGCCAGCTTTAGCTATACAGTAAGTTTTCAGCCAGCCTAGACTACCTAAAACTGTCAAAAGCCAAGAAATGAGAAAAGAAAGAAGGGAAGAACTAGGGAGGGGTGGGTAAGGGAAAGCAAAGGAGAGGGGAGGGGAGGTCAAGTCAAACTGGGACAGATCATTTGCTACAGATAACTGACAAAGGATTCACTTTTACATCTCAACAATTAACACCAACGACAGCACTGAACATGAACAAAGACTCACCAGGCCTTTTACAAAGGGCCGTAGGCAGATGGTCAATACACATATGAAAACATGTTGGATAATATTAGTCACCAGGAGTGTAAATAAAAGTCATAGAGCCCATTTCAACCCATTCAAATGGCACAAAGTGCTAAACTGAAAATGGTCAACATTGGGCTGTGTGTGTGTGTGTGTGTGTGTGTGTGTGTGTGTGTGTGTGTGTGTGTGTGTGAAATTCTCTGAACTCCCAAACATGCAGAGATGTAACCCCACCAAGAACACATCTGCCAATCTGTCCTAAAATTAAACATATCCTTACACTTAGTCCAACAAGTTTCCATACAGGAGTGTCCACAGAGGACTGAAGACACCAACCCAGAACACTCCCATTTGACAGCTCCAATTGGCTTTACTCTGGAGCCTCTGGCAAGGTGCTTGTGCTCCTGTAAGTGATCCTAATGAAACTCACTGATTCACCACAAAAGAAAGGAGGGAGCGAGGGAAAGGGGAAGAAAAAAGGAGGGAGAGGGGGAGGGAGGGAGGGAAAGATGGCTCAGTGGTTAAGAGCACTGGCTGTTCTAGCAGAGGACCTGGGTTCAAGTCCCAGCACCCACATGATGGGTCACAAACATCTATAACATCAGTTTCAGTTTCAGGGGATCTGGCACCCTCTTGTGGCCTCACAGGTAAGCACACATGTGGTTCACAGACACACATACAGGCCAAACACATATACAGTTGAAATAAAATAATAAATAGTAATAACAACAATAATAAAGGGAATGAAGGTAGAAGGGGGACTCTTTGGAATGAGGTTGATCACAGGAGTGGGTAGTGACATGAGAGGGCGTGGGAGATGAACATGATATACATGTATGAAAATGTCATAATGAAACCCACTACTGTACATAATATATGCTAATGAAAAACTTTTCTAAGAAGGAAATCACAGGATCAGCCTCTCCTCTTCATGTTCACTCTGTAGGAGGAAGATTACACCCCATTCTGTCCACTCAAAGATGCATCAGGTTTTGACAGGAACATCTGAGATAGAAGGAGTCATCCAGCGGCCAGCATCCAGGAGAACGTGAGGAGTCCATTGTTCTCTGTGGCTGAATGTGGTCACCAGTGACGCCTGGTGTTCCAAGGCCCAACCTGAGTAAGGCCGGTTGACTTCAGGTTTTTGTGAGATCAGGAAAGAACTTGCATTTAAAACTGTATCACTGCCCCACCCCAGACTCAAGGACCATGTGGCAAGAGAGGGAAGAAAGAAGAGCGGGGCTGACTGTGAGATGCTGTCTTCTGGACATGGTCATCACACTCAGGAACTCACAGTAGCTGGAGTTTCCTGCACAAGACCTGTAGTATATCAAGCCAGTCACATTCCTGCATGGATAGGGGAGGAGCTCATGGGCCCACCCCTAGCTGAGACGCTACTGGATGGTAATAGCCACTGGAGAAAGGGAACCTTTATTGCAGGTGTCGCCACAGGTTAAATTATTGATATGCCAGTAGCCCCAAAGCCATGCTTATTCAAGCAACTCTAATTAAACTCAGTGGATCCTTTTTTTTAAAAAAAAAAAAAAGGCATGAAAGTAGAGGGTGGCTTGTTAAGAAGGAGGAAGGGCAAAGAAGGAGTGGAAGGGAATAAGAGGGGATAGTGGGGGAGTGAAGGTGATCAGATATATTATGTGTATGTAAGAGATTTTCAAAAAATAAAAACACGAAGCTAGGTGTGAGCAACCTGGAAGAAAATCCTACAGAAGACAGTTCAGAAACTGGGGAGATGGCTCAGCCAGTAAAACACTTGCTGTCTAAGCATAGGGCTTGAATTCAACCCCTTGCATCCAAGTAAAATGCTGTGTCTGGTAGAACATTTGTAATCCCAGCACTGCAGAGGTGGGAACAGGAGAATCCCTAAGGCTCGCTGACCATCCAGCCTAGCCTAGCTGTGGATCCCTAGGACCTGGACCTGGTAAAAGACTTTGTCTCAAAAGAACATAAATAATAATAATAATAATAATAATAATAATAATAATAATAATAATAATGGTATATATGGTTACTAAGCAACATCTGAGATTGATCTCTGGCCCCCACATGCACATACATGAGCACATGCACACATATGCACACCACAAACACAAAACCAGAAAACCTTACAGAAGTTACCACTTATTCTTGGAGGAAAACTTTGCAGCCAACAGCTCTGACTGTTGTGGAATATTATGTTAACTAGACAAAGATATGTTACATTTGTTTGTGAAGCAGAGTATTCCTTTAACTGTGTAAAGGTGTGTTACATTTGTTTATGCTGCTTTGTTTAATGATGTAAAGCTGTGTGTTTAATTATGTAAACATGTGTTGCATTTGTTTCTCCTTGCCTGCCTAAAGCATCTGATTCGTCTAACGAAAAGCTGAACGGCCAATAGCAAGGCAGGAAAAAGAATAGGCAGGGCTGGTGGACAGAGAGGATAAATAGGAAAGAAAAGAATGAGAGAAAAGAAAGGAAAAGAGAATGAGCGATAAAGAGAGGGATACTGCCAACCAGACATGAGAAACAGTGAAAGTAAGAAATACAGAAGGAAAGAAAAGTAAAAAGCCCCAAGGCAAAAGGAAGATAAAGAGAAAGTTAATTTAGGTTAAAAGAGCTAGCCAGAAAAGAGCCTAAGCTAGGCTGAGCATTCATAATTAATAAGAAGTCTCTGTGTCATGATTTGGGAGCTGGGTGGTGGCCCAAAAGAAAAAGCCTGGTACATCTGATGACTTGGGAGGATGGAGGCTGAGTGAAAACATCTACCTCAGAGATTGACAACCAGAAGATGTCTAGGAAGCCTTTGATGATGAAGATGAAGGCAGCTGAGTAAAACCTTAACCAATTCATTGTCCTTTTAAAGGAGTGGTATATGATCTTCTCCAAGTCTAAATGCATCTGAAAGAACTCTTTTAACACACACCATGAAAATGCTAATCCAAAGGCATGGTATCATTGTTCAACTTCTTATGTTCACTGAAATACACATTGTTTTCTTGGCTTCGCAGTTGAGAAAACTGAAATCTAGAGAATTCCATATCTTGATGAAGGTTGCACAGGAATAAGCCACCATGCAGGCTTCCAGCCCAGGCATCTATCTGTAGCCCTTTCCCTTAAACACTACATTGTTTACTTCTTGTTATCTAAGAGGTTGATTTCAAACCCCTCTAAATGCTGTGGATATCCAGACACCACAGGTCCAGTTTGAACACATGGCATACATCATTCTGTCAATGAAACTCATGGTTTCTGATCTCATGAAGGCAACACAAGAGAGAACTAGGCAGTGTCCCAGCCCTCTGAGAAGTGACCGTTAAGGTACAGGGGACAAAGTGTTCCACAAAGAACCGGTAAAAACAAGGCAGGGAAGACGGATGGTACAGTCTGTACAGCGTTTGCCTTGCATGCATGAGGACCTGAGTTTGATCCCTAGTACCTGTGTTAAAAAGAAAAAGAAAAAAAATGACACTTCCTCCTATAAAAATTCCTAAAGAAAAGACCTCTGCAAAGGACATGGAGGGGTGACTTATCCTGGAAGTAAGTCCTAGACCCTGAAGTTATCAATGCTTTAATGCTGGGCCTTTAACAAAGCTCCACCATTTTTTAAACCCGGATCATTCAGTGACCCAAATACCTGGAGGCATGTGTGGTGGGAGAAAGGAATGTTTAACATGGAGAGACTTTAGATGGCTCCCCAGAGAGACAGGAATATCACAGTTGGAGCCAGGGAGCACTGCTACCCCGCCACACATAGCATTGTGCTTGAATTTGAACTCACAGCCTAGCCCCTGACAAGACTTGCTCTGCACACTCTAGGCATTCCTGAACCACCCCCCCTCCCAAAGACTCAGAATATCAGGGCCAAATCTGAAGGTGTCTCAATGATGACCCTGACCTCAGTCTATTTATTCTTGGTTGGGGGTAAAACCACCCAGCTCTGCTGGCAGCCTGCTCTTCCGCAAGGCAGTTGAATGGGGGCCTTCATAGGTTTGCTGAGACAACAGTGAAAAGAGTTTATCCTGGACAAGTGTGATGACCATGCTTGAAACCTCAGTTCAGTTAGAAGAATGGCAAGTTCCAAGGCCAACCTGGTCTACATAGTGAGAGTGGACTTAAAGTTATAAAATGAAATGAAAATACACTTAAAACACAGATTTTTTAACAAACCACAGAGCCACATAACTCAATGTATGCTGACATCAAGGCTGGGTTTCTCATTCTCCCGTTTTCTGTCTCTTTGGCATCTCTGAATCATGGTATTTACCTCCAATATTACAGAGAGTGAGGATCAGTTTGACCCATTCTCCTGTCCCCGGAGGTCATTTTCTGAGAACCTTGTTTTACGCTCCACAGAGCTTGTCTTTTGCAGACTGTACCAATCTTCCTGATCACCCAGGAATGGTGCTGATGACCCCCTGGGTCTCTGCCTGAAGAACCTCAACTCAGGGGAGTGACCTCTCCATTCCAAGTGTCCATGGGATAGTGCTGAACTTACACTTGGTTCTTCTCATTTTGTGTCAGACCATAGACACAAATCATCCCTCAACGAAGGGTGCTTGCATGGAACATGAAATGCCTCTGGCTTCATTTCCATCCCTATTGCTATGCTTGCGCCTTCCATTGAAATATCCTAGGCTGTGGGTTTAGAGAAGAGACTCAGCAGTTAAGAACACAGGCTACATCCAAAAGACCTGAGTTCAACTCCCAGCACACACATCAGATGGCTGCAATTGCAGACAGTTCAAGCTCAAGAGGATCTAATATCTGGTCTCTATGAGCACTATATTCATAGTCACCGATACACACACACTCACACACACACACACACACACACACACACACACACACACAGAGCAATGGACAGGCAGCACAGACTGGAAGAGGTCATCAGCAGTATGAAATGGCCTCCTATGTGAGGGACCCGGTCCTGGATATACAGGTAGACATGAGGCTATACATTCCCCAGGCAAGAGTTTCTCAAGAAAGGTGCTCTGTAAGCAGCCAGATGCCCTTCAAATTCCCAGTGGGGAGAGCTGCCAACAATCCCAGACTGCACCCCAGCTTAGTTCCAGGCTCTCAGAACAGGCCACAGGAACACTGAGCAAGGAAGCTCCTCAGCCTTAGGGACTCCAGGCAACAGCAGGTGGGCCACCACATCATGAGTCAGGCTCTGGACAGGGGTGGAGGGCTTAAAACAGCCCAGCCAATGAAGCTTTCCCAGTTTCCTCAGCCAGCCAAAGATCTAACACTAAAAACCCCATGCCAGTCTGCAGTATGCCATCTTCAGAGTCTCTAGCTGTGCACATGTGTACATATGTGCACATACCCACACACAGACACACATGTATACATATAGAAATAAATTATCTTTTTCTAAAAAGTTTAAAGATTTTCTCTGGGCTTCTGAAGACAGGCTGTTGATGATGGAGTAAGGGAATTCTGACTCTTGGGTCACACTCCTTTCTTCCCTTAGGTTCCACAGAGGCTCACCCACCTGTTCTCGACTAAGAAAAGCAAAACCCTAACTCGGAGACAAGACTCATTCCATCTTCTTTTGTTCCCTCTCTGCAAATGAGGCCATAACTCCAACTAAGTGGCATGGGAGGCAGTTACGAGGCAGGCCGCACGCTCACCCACCATGTTCTAGGGTTGTAAATGCCACGCTTGGCTGCATCGGGGACCAAGTGGCTCGTTAGCTGCAGCATTAGTGTTTAACGACGTGAGGAACAGAAGCTGCCAGGCACCACGCTCCTTCTTAAAACACCATTGAAAACCCATATGTGTAATTATTACACCTTCCTGTTTAATTCTGATTCCCCTGAAGCCTATGGACTGAACGTTCATCCAGCCTGTAAATCTCAGAGATCTCTTCAAGGCTGTCATTTACATAACTGAGCTAAAGATCCACCCATCACACCCAGGGGAGTCTGGACACCAGCCACTGGTCTGCTAAATCCATGAATCTGCTAAAAGGACATACCCCACAGCCTTGATCACCCCACCTCTCCGATGGGCTCTTAGTCGCCTTTCCACCTGCCTAACACTGCTATTACAAATATCAAGTCAAACAGCAAAATGCCAAAATGCCTGTGTGTGTGTGTGTGTGTGTGTGTGTGTGTGTGTGTGTGTGGGGGAGTGTCTGAAAATAGTAATCAAATGACACAGCAAGATACTATATGTTTATGTTCTCAAGCTATATGCATAGGCAGAAACCTATCCACGAAGAGCTGCTGGCATGAAGAGGCTGTGATCTGAGACACTACCATGTTCTAAGTCCAGCTTTCTTGGTGTGTGTGTGTGTGTGTGTGTGTGTGTGTGTGTGTGTGTGTGTGTGGCTAGGCACTGACCTTGAGCCTGGGACTTTGCACATGCTAGGCAAGTGCTCTACCATCAGGCTCCCTCTCCATTTCTCTGAACTTATTTTGAGACAGTCTCTCCAAATCACTCAAACTGGCTTAGAATTCACAAGACCAGGCGCTGACCTTGCAATCCTCCTGCATCAGCCTCCCAAATAGCTGGGATGACTTCCACATGTTAATCAATGACAAAATATGAGCACCTTGACAGTTACCTGATATGGCCAGCATCTTGGCTTCCAGCAAGGCAGGCAGACTGGTGTCAAGGTCACTGAGTCTCCTCCTCAGAGAGCTGCACAGCCTCTCACCTGAGCACACCTACAAGGAGAAATGGCAGGAATCAGAGTCCATTGTTACCAACCAGATGACAGAGGGAACCTGGTCTGAGGGGTCTGGGTTTCTAAGTCGCTGAGCTGATTGATAGAGAATAAGCAGAAGGCGGGGCTTAGGAAGCAATGGGATTAGAAAGACAGCAAAGAAGGAAGAGGGGAGCAAGAAGGAAGAGGAGGAGAGGGGACAGGAGAGAAGGAAAGGAAAGGGAGTAGAGGCAAAAAGGAGAGGAGAGGAGGGAAGGAGAAGAGGAGGAGGGGAAAGAGTAGAGAGAGGAGGGAGCAAACAGAGAGAAGAGGAAGGGAAGGAAGGAAGAGGCTAGGAAGGAGGAAGAGAGGCTGCCACTGGCTTGGCCCTCAGCACACCCCTGGTCCTCACAGGCTGGTGGGAGCTCATTCATTACTCCTGCCTGAGCACTCAACCCTCACAGCCCTGGGATATATGCCCCATGGTGCCCTGGGAGGAAAGGCCTTGCTGATTTCCTGTCCCTTTCCTTCACCCATTCTTCTCTGGCTTCCTCCCCAGCTTTTATTCCTCTGTCTCCTCCCATCTCTCTACAATGATGCCAGCTGTCCATGAGTAGGGACTCTGATCTGTCTGGCACACAGTAGGCAGTCAACTTAGATGTGGCATTTGACATCAAGGTCAGAGGAACCTGCCAAATGTCATTACTAGAAGACTCTGGAGACTAGAGGGGCAGATACTTGCTGGAGAGTCCAGACATGATGCCATCAGGAAGACTTGTGAGTTATCAAGTGTCCCTGGACTCTGCACACACCACCTATGTGTTTCTTCCTCACACACTGCCTGTTTTACTTTGAATTTCAAAAACAACAAAAGTCTTCAACCTCAGTCTGGCTTCCCAAATCCCTTTAGGTTATTTTTTATATTGAGACTAAAACATCACAGTTTTTCTCTTACTTAAGACTAAAAGCTCTTATTAATCTGCTATCTATATTCAGATTAGTGAAATACTTATATTTTCAGTTCACCAAAAGTGCTCAACACAGTTTCTGTAGGGATAAAAACGGTAGGCATTTTGGGGAAGTCCACAGAGGATGTAACCCCCAAGAATCATTTATTTATTTATTGCCAAAATAAAAATATATGCAATCCCATTCGGGAACTGAAAATAATCAGTTCACTTGGACTGAGAGCGCACAGAAGACATGGGATTCCATCTCCCCCACTCAGTCTACATCTTGAGGGGTACAGCCAACTGCGATCAAACAGAAGCTACCATCAGAATCAAAGCAGACCTCACCCAGTCCCAAAACACTCTCCAGGCTGCTGTGGTTCATTGCCCCTCTGTGCCTGGGATGGATTTTCCAACTTTGCTTTGTGAAACTCACAGCAGGCACAGTCAGTCGGCCTCTGCACCAAAGCCAGCACAAACTGTTCATCCTCACATCAGTCATACACCTTGAGGCTCTTTCAGGAGTCCTGGGATTTGGGAGGATGTAGAACTAAGAACTAAAGGGAAGATGTCCAGGGCCGCTTCCCCTGGCCCTGTCTCAGTTGGTTCAATGCTCCATGACAGCCCCCACCCATCCTTCCACCTACAACTGTCATCTCTGGAAGGTCAAGGACTCATCAGTTAACTCTGTGATACCAACCAGAATTCTCAGGTCTCATCTAATCCATGTCTAACATTTCTGATTTTAGTTAACAGTGTCTCTTAATCATAATTAGGTCAGTTTCTCCTTTGCTGAGAAAGCCCATCATTCAAGCTACACTATTAATATGAAACTGCCTTTCTAAATTTTCTGATTAAATTGCACTCTTTCAGTCTCTGCTGGATATAATATAATATCTAGCAATCTCTAGATATCCCAATTATTTCTAACTATTTCCATCTCATTTATCCCTTAATTACCTTTGGTTTGGGTAACCCATGAGAACCAAGAAATGTAATGAGTATAAGGAAGGTTGCATCTCACTCTGAAAAGTACAGGGGTTGAGCATCTCTCTCTCTCTCTCTCTCTCTCTCTCTCTCTCTCTCTCTCTCTTCTCTCTCTCTCCCCTCTCTCTGGCGTGTGTGTGTGTGTGTGTGTGTGTGTGTGTGTGTGTGTGTGTTTGTTGAGCTAAGCCTCTTGCCTCATGGTCACTTATCAGTCATCAGGAGTTAGAGTTTGGTTAGGATTAAGGTTAGACTTCCCAGGTAACGAGTCAGTTTGGTGACATAGCCTCCAATGCTCACATATGTCCAATGTAATATACACATACCCACCCCAGAAAAATCTGCATGTCTTCCTTATTTACAAATAAAATTAGCCCCTGGGGAACTCATTAAAGAACGGAAGTTTTACATTTACATTTTAAAATCTAAGGCACGGGCTCCTTAATTTGATAGAAAAGCAAAGTCATTATAAGTTGACTATAAATATCTTGGAGATGGGATGTGCAATGGTGTGAATGCTTGTGTCCCCCAAAAGTCCATATGCTGAGATCTTCAGCTGCAGTATGAAGATGGGATTAGGAGGTGGGGCTCTGGGAAGTAACCTAAGGGTAGAATCTTATGAAAGCATGGGTACCTTTAGAAAAGGGCCCTGGGGGGATGGTGCTCAGTCAGTAAAAGTGTTTGCTTTGTAAACAAGGGGACCTGAGCTGGATCCACAGAGCCCATGTAAAAAGTTGCACATTATGGCACAAACTTGTAATCCCAGAGCTGGAGAAGTAGAGACAAGAGGATCCCTGCAGCTTGAGGACAGCCAGTGTAGCCTAATCAGTAAGCTCCAGGCCAATGAGGGAGCCTATCAAAGGAGGCAGATGGCATTCCTAAATAGAACACCTATGACTGTCCTCCAGGTACACACACACACACACACACACACACACACACACACACACACACACACACACATGCATTCATACACATAATAATAATAATAATAATAATAATGAGACCTCAGAGCGGCCTCCTCTTCTCTCTCTCCATCATTTGAGGACACAGCATGGAGCTGGCATCTGTGCCTGATAAGAGATCCCCACCAGAACCTGGCCATGCTGGCACCTGGTCCTCAGCCTTCCAGCCCTGAGAGCTGCCCAGCCTCAGTGCTTTGCGATTGAAGAACACAAAGACAGAGATCAACTTGACAGGACCTAGGACCACCTCAGAGGCTGTCTCTGAACATGTCTTCAAGATTGGGTAAGGGAGTTGGGAAGACACACCTTAAATGTGGGTTGTACCATCCCATGGGCTGCATCCTGGACTGAATAAAAATGAGAAGATGAGCTGAGCTCCAGCATTCATCTCTCTGCTTCTTGACTGTGAATACCATGTGACCAGCTGCCTCACACTCCATGCTTTCCCCCACTATGATGGACTGTACCCTCAAACTGTGAGCCGGAATAAACCCTCCCTTAAGATGCTTTGTCCAGTATTTTTGTCACACAGTGAGGAAAGTAACAAATACAGACAACAAATAACATTAGCAAAATGATCTGGAAAACTTAAAAACAAAGCAAAACATTGCATCCGCTAAACCATTTCCATTTTGAGAAGCCTGAACTTGAACTCCCAGGAGAAGCAAACTTCTTCCCTCCTAAAACCCTTGTTTGTCCACTCATTTGTTTGTGACAATATCTTGCTATGTAGCTCATCAGGCTGGCCTTGAATCCTTTGACCTTTCTGCCTCTGGAATGCTGAGATTGCAATTATGAGTTATACAAAGGCATGCAAGCATCCCAACACGGTCCTTTCCCAGCCTCTGGACTAAAACCCCTTCTGAAGCCAAGGTCAGCAGTCCATTTGGAAGTGACCATGAGTGGAGACTCCCATGGAAGCAGCAGCTCCCTCTCCCCAGCTCTTCTTCTCTGCCACAGTCTGGGAAATGTCTCCACAAAGTCCATTTCCTCTAAAGCCCAAGCCGTTGGTGATCTGGATATGAAATTAGGTTAGAAGAAAATGGGAGGAGGGTGGGCTTACCTGAGCGGTGATTTCTCTAACAGCCAAGTTCAGTGATTTTGTCCTTTCCTGGAGGCTAGAAGGATTAGAGCAGAATGTTGGTCTTCTTGACACCAAGGTGGAGCTCTATACATGTAAGACACTACCAATTAGAACCTTCTATTACCCAAGGAACTGTTAGCATCTGAGTGGGCAGGTCAACAATTCAAGAAGGAATGCCTCCATGAAAGTAGACAGACATACATATTTCATAGTTCTCAAGAATGACTTGACTGGGTCAGCTGGCATTCCTTCTCTCCGGTGTGTCCAACCTGTGGCACACCAGGATAACTATGAGTGCTCATAAAGTCACTTAAAACACCATGGGGTATATTTGGAATTTGTTATATGAACCTTGTGATAATAGTCTGACATAGTTAAAGATTGGACATGCCTGTGAGTCTCTACATATACTAGCTTATTCATACAATGTCCCCCCAGACTGTAAGTTCCAAGTGAACAACATCCATCCGCTGGGCTCACTCTCTCATGAGAAAAGCTCAGGGAGTGGGTACACCGGGAGCAATGAGAACACTCTGTCTAGAGCCCACCATTCTGTGGACGTAAGCCTTGCTTATTCTTCCAACCCATCAGGGACAGTCAGGGAGTGGGGGCAGTGCTTGCTTGATACAGGGTAGTCTGCAAGAGGAAAAGGTCCCAGTTTCCAGAGTCTATGCAGGGGATGGGGATTCCAGAAAAACCTTCCACACCAGGGAGAGCAAAGTGTAATTCAGAGATAAGCTACCACCAGTAGATGCATGTAGGGGTTCTTCTCTGGCTATAAGACCTGTTGAGGGATGTTATCATCTCTACACATTTATGATTTCTGAAACCTAGGCAAGCTGGGGTTGCAAGCTCCTAGACACTGTGGCAGGCACCTGCCAGCTTTCTCATTTGTAAACTGTACCAGATGAGGGACTACTGGAAAGAGTGAAATCAACCCAAACGTAGACAGTGAGCACAGGCGAGGAGCACGGCACGTGGCCACAGCCTCTTCTGAGTCAGGAGTCACCATCTGGCAAACATGAGTGCACAGATAGGCCTTGGGGGAAGCACTGCCGACCTTGGTTAGATGGAGACAGGCCATTGTGAGGGAAGGTCAGTCTGGATGTCAGCTTATGTGGAGAACAAGACAGGACAGACCACTTGGGCTGCTGCAGAGAGAAGGGCAGAACTTTGTGAAGCACGGCTTGGTTCTAGAAGCAGCACTGGCTCTGGAGCCTGCTATCACACTTGTAACCCTTCTTCAGCAAGAGTGTGTTTCCTTCCTCTGCCAGGCTCACTGCAGTCTATTCAAACAGTACATTTTTGTTTGCTTGCTTGTTTTGCTTTTTGACAGGGCTTCTTATAGATCAGGCTAGCCTTGAACTCACAATATAGCACAGGATGACCTTGAAATCCCAGCACCTGTATCCTGGGTGCTGGGATTACAAGAGTGCACCATGACACTAAGCTTTTTCATGGTGCTAGGGGTCTAACTTAGGGTTTGCTGCATACCAACTGAGCTACATCCTCAGCCCCGCAGCTAGTTCCCTCTTAATCAGTGGCTCCCCACATAATAGAACCTTTTTGATCAATAGATTGTGCTGTTCTACTTGCTATGCTGATATATATATATATATATATATATATCAATACAATATATAATCCCAAACATGCTGAAAAACTAGCTCATGAGTTTACATATTAAAGCAGAGAGCAGACTCTCTTCCTGAGTCTAAGACTGATCTGGCCTCAGGCACAGCACCTTTAGCAAATGTCCCATGACCCCAGTGAAAAGAAGATCAGGTACATCCTTACCAAGGGTGGACTCCTATTGTTGCTCTGGGCTCTGATCTGACCTTACCCTAGAAGGAAAATAAGCTTCAACTCAAATATCTCTGTGAGAGGAGGAGGTAGTGATGCGGATAATTGAATGCATTGTTTTATATCAGATTTGATTTATACTTAATTTATTTAATTTATGCTATATTGCTTTTTTTCAGTAGATTTATTTTCCTAATTATGTGTTGCTCAGGCTAATATTAACATTAGTTGTATCCCCGGGGGATCCACAGAACAGAAGCAATGTGGAGAGGGGAGAAGACTATGAATCATCCGTGTGTATTGCACTAGCAGTTTTCAAGCTATATTTAGCATTTCTCAGAACCCAAAGGACAATATAGATAGCAGAGGATCTGTTCTAACAGGACAGCGGCATCTGAAGTACAGTGAGCCATGTTAACTCCACCCATATGTGATGCTGCTACCACCACACTGCAGTCCCCAGGAGCAGGAACTGTTAGTATTCAGACATCTGTACTGGTCTGTCCCCGGTGCTCTTAGTGGCTGCAGCTGAGGGCATATCCTGTCAGAACCCCAAGGACAGGCCAGTACAGATGTCTGAATACTAACAGGAATACCCATTGAAAACACATTATGCCAGTTAAATGTTGACAAGGGTTCTGTGCATGTTGGTCACAAAGCTTGTTGCTGTTTCGATAAGATTACATATTGTTCATGACAAATAAAAACCATCCCTTCAGATCTGGGTGTGGTGATTCATGCCTGTGGTTCCAGCACTGGGAAGGTGGAAGGAGGAGGAGTGGGAGTTCAAGGTCATCCTTGGCTTCAAGGTCATCCTTGGCTATATAGCACATTGGAGGCCCACCTGGGCTATGTGAGATCTTGTCTCAATAAACAAACAAACCATGAGCTACCCCTTCAGATCAAAGGATACTGCACTGGGATTCAGAAGTTGTCTACCCAGATGACTCCATTAATAGAAAGTAACCTCTTCATTCTTAGAAATAACAGTCAAGAGCTGGGGAGATGTCTTAGCTGGGAAAGTGTTTGGCACACAAGCATGAAAACCTGAATTTCACACACAGACCAGGTATTTACAAAAGTCATGGGATTGTACAGACCACTCAACAGTTAAGAACATTGGTTGCTCTTCCAGAAGACCCAGGTTCAACTCCCAGCATCCACACGGCAACTTACAGCTGTCAGTAACTCCAGATTCAGGGTATCTGACACCTTCTTCTTGCCCCTCTGCACACGGCATGTATGTTGTACATAAACAAACATGAAGGCAAAACATCCATACACATAAGGTGAAATAAAAATATTTTTAACATCAGGTGTGATGGTATATGCTTGAGATTTAGTGAGCTCCAAAAATAAGGTAGACAGCTACTGTGGAAAACACTCACACACACACACACACACACACACACACACACACACACACACACACACACACACACACTGTGTGAAAACCCACACACACTCACACACACACAATCATGCACACATGAAGAAGGAGAAGGAAGAGGGAGAGAGAAGGAAGGGGAAGGGGGAGGGGAGAGGAGGGGGACAGAGGAACTTCCTGTGAGGATACATGGCAGATGCCCTCAGGATACAAATCAGGCTTCTTGATCCTGGACTCCAGCCTCCACTCCAGGACAGTGAGCAGCTGTCAAGCCTTCCCATCTCTGCTGCTATGGAAGCCCAAGCGAACTCACACACACACAAGATCCTCAGTTTCCACTAAGATTAATCTTATGTGTTATTCAGGGCCTGCACACTGATTTTTCAGGGGGCGGGGAGCAAGGAAAAAAGGAAGAGAGGGAGAGGAAGAGGGAGGGAGGGGAAAAGGGGGAAGAGAAGAGGAAGGCAGGAGGAAGGAAGAAGACAGGGAGGTTAGGGAGAGTTGTTTTTCAGTGCAGTGGTCTTACTGCCACCCCAGCAAACAGCTTTATCCCCAGAATTGCCTGTGTGATAGTCTGACTTTTATATAAAGCTATGCGAGTGGAATGTCCTCATCCCCTGTCTTCTCTGTGTCCTTTCTCTCCCCACACCCCAATTCCACAACCTTCCTTGTTGAGCAAAATTTAGTTTAAGAATGACAGACTGTTCCCAAAGCAAACGAGAAATGACAGAAAGGGCACAGTGACAGCTACGCCAAGCATGGAGGCTACTTTGGGTCTTCAACTGAACAGAAAACGGGACTCTGTTGACATTAACAACCTTGCCAATTACTGCTTAGTCCTTTGGCCTTCCACAGAGGACAAGTGGGTCAGAAAGTGACAAGGGAAGCTGCTGTAGGAAGTGAGGATTTATCCACTTGGCCTTTTCCCTCCTGGAGCCCTTATGTCCTCACTGCTGATAATGTCACACATCACCAGTAGGACAGCTGTGGGGCACAGATGACAAAAGTGTCCTGAATTCCTCTAGACTTGGGATAGCTCACTGAGGCAAGACAGGATGCAAAAAACGCATCAGTCCTGCTCCTTACAATCTTGTCAGGGGCTGGTTAGCTGAGCCTGTGCTGCTGGGACAGGCAGTTTGGTACAGTGGACAAAGATTCATGCCAAGAGGCAGGTGTCCAGTACGTATGTGCCAGCTTTGCTGAGAATGTCCTCTTTTTCCACTTGGGTGACAGAGCTGACAGCCGGACAGTAAGGCAAAGGACATGCACATCTGTGCTCCCAGAGGTGGATAAAGGTCTCCTAACACATCACCCAGACACCCAGCTTGCCTGTATGACAGCAAACCATACTTCACAGAATCTGTAGGCAATCAGGTGCACACACTTTAACTAGAGAGAACTATTACAGCTGATGTCTGCCTTACTATGTAAGGGTCACAGTGAACCAGAAGGGAAATGCTGACTCTTGAGCCTCCTTCTGGATGCTTCCTCTGTATTTGGAGAACCTTTGTGATCCACCTCTGTCTTTGTTAGGGTTTCTATTGCTGTGAAGAGACACCATGACCACAATAACTCTTATAAAGGGAAACATTTGAGGTGGCAGCTTTCATTTCAGAGGTTCAGTCTGTTATCATGGCGGGGAACATGATGCAAGTACACATGATGCTGGCTACATCTTGATCAGAAGACAACAGGAAATGGATTGTGACAAAGCAAAGCTTAAACAAAAGAGAGCTCAAAGCCCATCCCCACAGTGACACACTTCCTCCAACAAGGCCACACCTACTCCAATAAAGCCACACTTCCTAGTAGCAACACTCCCTATGAGCTTATGAGAGGCAATT